TTTTTTTTTTTTTGAGACAGGATCTTGCTGCGTAGTCCAGCTGGACTTGAACTCACTATGCAGCCCAGGCTGGCCTTGAACTCATGGCTCCTGAGTGATGGGGTTACAAGCATGTACCAGCACAACAGCATGAAGGAGACCTGGGATCCCTGTCCACATCATGGCAAGCTATAGTGCGTCTCCTTTTGTGTCTGTGGGCCAGAGGCAAAGTGCCCAGTGCACAATAGCTGAAGCATGGCCCACAGCTTCCACGCCTGGCTGTCCCCTGGACTGCTACACAGCAAAAGGCAGCTACTATTTTAGGGCCTCCAAGAAAGATGGCATGACCACATCTGTTGGTAAGACTGAGACTGATACAATTTTGCATGAAATGCTAAGGACAGAAAACTGCAGACTTCTTTAGGATGTGGCAGATGAGAGGGGCCAGGAAGCTGGCAGGGTCAGCACTGAGGACGAGTGTGCTTGTACACTTTTCTTTAATGGAAGCTGTGACACATGTACCATAGTTCCTGCCTTACACTGGATAACTAGGGCAGAATTAGCTCCGTTGGGACTAGTAATGTGTGAGAAGAAATCTGTCCAGCCAAGTCGCCCCTGTGAAGCTGGGAGGTTCGGATGTCCTCAGGTGAGGGTTTTGGCCTGGGCAAAGTAGGGTCTGAGCGGCTGCTGAGCACCTCCGAGGGTGACAACTTTTGGGAGGCAGAAAACACACGAGAGCCTGGCAAGGGCACAAGGGCTCACACCGGGGGTCGCCTGGGACCCCAAGTTCCCAGTGCTCTTGAGTCTGCGGTCAAGTCCCCAGGAACGCCTGGGCCGGAGCCCTCCGCGTCACGGTGCAGGGTGCAGCACCAGCGTGCACTGAGTGGAGACGGTGCCCCTGGCAGCGTGTGTCGGAGAAGCCCTTGCAGTGGGAGCACAGGCAGGAAGGCTTCATTGGAATGAAGGAGTATGTTCTGTGGAAATCGAGGCTGCACAAGAAGTCTAAAGTTCCCTTGAATTTCTGCTCTGAGTAAAGCTATCGTGGAGGAGAATGAAGGGCAGGAGAGTGGCCCTGAGGACGGCATGCGGCGCCCAAGCCGGCAAGTGGGCACAGGCCCTGGGCACCTCGTGGTGCACGTGTGACACTGCGGACTCTACAGTCCCAGAGGCCCAGAAGGGCTCAGTGCAGTCACCCTGCCTGCTTCTCTGCACACATAGACACAGACAGACACACACACGATGAGCAAAGCAGGTGGCTGCTGCAGCAGGCGGAACACTGCCGGGTTGGCGCCAGTCTAGTCCGCGTGACAGAGACCCCCCACGGTCTCAGGGCTCAGCCAGCCTCCCAGTCCTTGCTCGCTGTCTGAGAAGCCTCAGTGACCGGCCTCTAGGGCTCCTTGTCCCTGCACAAACCAGGGGGATGAAGGACAGCATCAAAAGAGCTGAAGCAAGCGTGCACTGATGTACCTTGGACCTACACGTTCACACTGGAGTTCCTTCCTGCAGGCCAGGAGAGTAATCCACGCAAGAGATGAGGGGGTGAGGGAACAAGGAGGCTAGGGCTGGGCTTGGGGAGGGGTGACCAGCTGCCAGGGCTAAGCCTTAGGTGTGAAATACGGAAGAGGAGGGGAGGGCAGCTGGCGATGTTTTGCTTTGCACTAGGAAGGTCATCCCCTCTACAGTTCTCGTGGAGAATGCAATAAATCCAAAGTTTTTAAATTCTTTTTTGATTACTGAATGTTTCTTTTGAATGTGATGTCATAGGGGCCTGGGAGATAGCTCAGTACAATAAGCGCTTGCCTGGCAAGCCCTAGTTCAATCCTTGGTTACACCAAAAAAAAAAAAAAAAAAAAGACACCGTGCACTGGGGCACAAGGCAGCGCAGCTTCCACAGGCCCAGTTTGGAAGCATTTCTGGGATTTCAGACTAAGGTGGTGTTGGCACCGCTACAGCCTGAATTCACTGCTGTAGCCCTGCACGAAGGGAGCAAATTTAGTGCACAAAATGCAGGGCTGTAGAAACAATACAGATGAGATAACTAGACACTGGAGAGAAGAAGGTGGCAGGTCTGCTCAGAATCTCAGCTCAGAATCTCAAGTACCCTGGAAGACCAGGGTACGAGGGACTAGGTACAGTTAATGGAGACCTTTATCCGTGCGTCAGGGGAGTCTCTTCTCCTTGTGGGCTAAAGACAGCTAGACGAAGGGACAGAAAGTGCATTCTCAGGGCAAGAGGCAGCAGAAGGCTGTGCAGGCAGTTCCTCTGAATCCTCCAGTGCAGGGTGAGACACACAGTGCAGCCCCACTTGGCTTAGGACTAGACCCACACAGCAAGGCCTGGGATTCCAGAGAACCTGGTCCTGCACCCAGCGGCTGCCCAAGGCTCCGCTTGGCTCTCTACACAGGTTCCTTTTATTTTCCTTAGCCTAGAATCATCTATTTTTCCTTGTCAATTTTTTACATACAATTTTGGAAATGATTTGATTCTAAATCTGATGCACTGTAGTCCCCTCCCTGTATTTTCAAGGTCACCCCCAGTTCCCACCCACCCCTCTCCTTGTATTTTCAAGGTCACCCCCACTTCCCACCCACCCCCTCAAATGTCTGACCTGGAGCTGGAATGGATGAGCCACACCCCTGGACCTCTGTACCTGTTTCCCATGGTCCTTGGTGCTTCTCCAATAACTTCCCCTCCCTGAGCTCAGACCCCCTGTCCTCTCTGCGGGTACATGCCAGCACCTCCAGGTGGCGTGATGTAATCTGATGTGGAAAGCCTTGACACATGGCATCCTTAACAAGGGCCTTGTGTGATGGCATAACCCAGCTTTGCTCTATGAGGGCTGTGTTTAATACAAGCATAGGGGACTAAGAGGGTGGGAGGCTTCACACAGGACCACACTTTGCAGACAGAAGGCAGGAACCCACCTGGAGGGTTAAGAACTGGCAAGACAAAATCTTCCATGTCAAGGGTTGGTCAAGCGGTGTGAACGAGCTCAGGCAGAAGGCCTGACAACCATGCAGGTCTGCTCCGGCCACAGCAAGGCTTCCCTGGGAAGGACGGGCAGGAGGGTTGAGCCTGTAGGACCTGAGAATGTTTGCTGTAGTATGATCAGATCAGACATGTATGCTGTGCGAGCTCAGTTCTTTTTACGTTCATTCCCTGCCTCTATTGAGTTTTCCAATATTTGAAAGTGTTCATAAATCCCAGCCCACTTTGATTGGATACCAAAAGAACTGCCAGAGCTTAATAGTCTGAGGTCTGTTAACCATGTATGGGCCCAGGGCAGAGGTAGCAGCAGTAACCAAGGTGAGCGTGCTACAAGTTCACAGAACTGAGGAAAGGAGGAGCAAGCAGACAGGATGGTCATTCATTTTAAATTGCACTTTAAATTTCTGATAGGTGCATAATGGCTTAACGTTATTTACTTAAACATTCTGCTGTTAGATGCTTAGGATATTCCCAGCTTGCTTTTATTTTCACAGCAGTAAGACATGTCTGGGCCCGTAGCTCCTCAGCCACAGAACTTTCCCGGCCAGTCACACTGCACAAGAGCTTGCACACCAGGGAAGCCCAGAGTAACGCGCTTCTTCTTGGGAACTGCACTTCTGCTTTCCCGTCACTTGGCCTCTCTAACTCACTAAGGCGGTTATAAGTTAGCATGTTATTGCCCCCAGGACGACTGCTTCCTCTGTGCGCTGTGTGTCCCCTGCTCTACCCTTCAGACAAGGAAAGGGGAAGTCACCAAGATGGGGACACCCCGCCAGGGGCTGGGCAAGGGGCCCTCACACACTGTCCTCTGTCTCCTCTCCCCTGGTGACTGTGACTGTCAACAGTTCACCCTTCCAACTGTGAGGCTATGTAATGTTTCTGAGTGAGAAATGACACTGCAATTGATCTGCTCGAATCCCCAGGATCGGGAACATGATTTAGTTGCGGTCTCTGAATAAGTACGTGGCAGAAATCAAATCGCACCCAGGTCCTTCACGTGGGGTGGTGAGTTCTGAAGGACGAGATGGAACTGGGTTTTTGTTAAAAGTATTCATTCAACAAACACATCTACTTACTCCTACGTCTTCCGTGATGGAGGGCGCTGGGGAGACAACAATTCTCTAGCTGTGTGGCTCTTTCGCCTCAGAAGTTGAGTGCTTGGCCTCTCCATCCCGGACAAACTCCTGCGCCCCGGGAGGAGCCGCCGGGCCCCCTGGGGTGAGCCTAGTCCTCCTGGGTTCCGGGCTCTCGGCGGCCGGCGGGCGGGCTCACTGCAGAGGCCGAGCGAGCGGCAGCGCCTGGCCCGCCCGGGCTCCGCACCGCCTGGCCTGGCGCGGCCGGCTCCAGCTGGGGCGCAGCCTCGACCTCTCCGCCTCCCCGCCTGCTGCCGACCCCCAGGGGGACAGCGAGCAGGACGCCGCCTCGCCCGCCGGCTGCAGCCCCTCTCCGCCGGCCCGACCATCCTGCAGCCGCGCGTCGGCCGAGGCCGCTGCGGTGTCCCCGCCCCAGCCGGAGCCCGGACGCCAGCGCCTGCGGCAGCCTCCGCACCATCCTCCCGTTCTCGGCTCCACTTCCTGGTTACCATGGAGACACACGTCACTGACGTGCCGTGCGTCGCCTTGGAAACGGAGGAGCCTCCGCGGCGCGGCGGGGAGACCCGCCCCGGCGCTCCTCCTACCTCGCGGGCGCTGTCGCTCGTCCGCGGCCGGGGAGTCCCGGCTCCGACGCTGCGGCCTCGGCCTCGCCCCGGCTCCTCAGCGGCGCCGCCTGTGCCCGGGC